TTAGGAATCTTGAGTTACAGATCATGTCTTTTGTCCCAGATTAAGCACATTTAATCATTAATTTGAAAGAACAAAGGAGACTGCTCCATTTTGGACAAAATGGAGTCATTCCGGTCTCACGTTAGCAAAATGGAGTCACTTTTGGTCTCACAGTAATCAGGTTAGGCAAATACTCATTTTTGGCTAATCATGAGTAAAGGTAATCTATAAGATATTTTCTTAGTTGATTTACTTATTTGACTTTAACGCAGTTCCAGAATTGTTTTGAACAATGATGACATCACTAGAATAAATATGAAGCTCCCAGAGGTAACTGCTTTGAAAGACAATATTTTGAAATATATAATGTAAGAAATGTTCTTTACTTTATATGAAAATCTCATTTTCATTTAATGTACTGTTTGATATAGGCTTGCTGTTTGTGTTGAATTTATTTGGATTTGTTAAGCCTATTTGTTTGCCTTTATTCTTTATACCCAGAGTTAACATTTTTTTCCTCTCTAAACTGCCAGATATATTGATACAGCCCATACTTTGGAGCAAGAAACTCAACTGGGGTTACGATGCTTTGAAGTTTGTGACAATGTTGACCTTGAAACCATTTTGATGGAATATGAGAGCTATTATTTTATAAAATTCCAAAAATACCCCAAAATTGTTAAAAAGGCATCAGATACAGGTACATGGCTATTTCATAAAAACAAGATTTTATCCCATCATTAAACATGGTTGCATTTTGGGCCAGGGGTTTAGCTCAGTTGTTCTGCTGCCTGCCTCAAAAGCACAAGGACCTGAATTCGATCCCTGGTACTAAAAAAAAAAAAAAAAAAAAGTTGCATCTTATTCTTAGATGGATGGTGCCCCTCACCCTGCCCTGTAACAGTAGACCAGAAAGATCATGCATCCTCTCTTAGACCCAGAGCAGAAAACTTAAACTTGATGGCCAGGATATTGAAGACCCTTTAGTCATGTTGGCACTTGCTTGAGAAAGCCCTAGTGTATTTCAGGTATTCTTTAGAAGATAAGCATTAGTTTCTTTAGAGATAGAGGCCTTTGGAAGAGGATAAAGGACAAAAGACTTTTTCTTGTTAGGAAGACCTATTATCTATCTATCTTGAAAATAACATGAAAATGAGTTTTGGTGAAGCTAATAGCTCATGTATAGATAATGAAATGCTTTTGAAAGCCATCAATCCTGATCATGATCAATATAATGCAAAGACCCAGTATAGGTTAGCAGTCAAAGAGGCTGGCTGGAGGGAAGATCTAAAGCCAGGGCCTAAGGTTATGTAGTAACATTGACTCAGAAGTCTGTAAATGGGGGAAGTAATTACAAACCAAGGGAGATCATTGTCCTGTTTACAAGGCACTTGTTAAGCCACAGACTTTAACATTTCATGTAGGGACCGGGAAACCAAGAGGAACATCAATTAAAAATAGCCAGAGCAGAAAGAGTTGGGAGGGATCTAAGATATATTTTATCTGTGCCCCTTTCCAGTGCAGGGTTCAGAACTTGCTTCCTTGGCCAGTTGCTAGATGTTGGCCTTGAGAAAGCATTGACTCTGAAGCCCAGGGCTACAAACACTGACCTGGTCCATTACTGACCTGATCTGATTTCTAAATGGCTCATTCTCACCTAGCTTGTTACTCACATTTTCCTGTGGTATTGGACACAAAATGTCTTTATTTTAGAGTAGTTGGCAGAGTATAACTTATTAGTGTTCCCTGCCAGACTTACATAATCACTGTGGGTTCTATACACCCCAGGAAAATGGTGTCAAGTTTATCAAAACTCAATGGAATGACACCTGTAAGGCCACCCCATATTGGAAATGTGGCCATGTACATAGTTTCCAGCACATTTACTGACGCTTTGGGGTCTTTATCTGAATGGAGAGGCTTGGGAAGATTGGACCTCTTTCTTTTCTCTGGACATTTCATTTCTCTCTAGATCACTATATGTAAGCTCTGGCTCAAAAGGCTATTGCACTGATTTTAAGAACAATATAAAAGGATAAACCTACCTGAAAATTACTTTCTCTCTCTTAAAATTAAATTCTTTCCTTTCTTCCCAATGTTTATCTTGTCACAGGAGAAAATAATTTACTACCAAGAAGTAGAGAGAAGACTAAAAGGTAAGATGAATGCTAACTCAAGCATAAGAACTTGTGGGGTCCTTTTCCAGAAGATTCTTCAGTGCACCTCCATGACTATCTACCAGCAATATCTATGGTCTTGCGACCTTGGTAGGGCCAGCCATGTAGTCCCCTCAGATTATAGCTGTCTAGGACTTGGGTCACTGTATGTCACTTCTCCCTGTTTACAGCAAATAACTGCAACCAGGGATGCTCTGTCTTTCTGGGCCACATGGCATGAAAAGTTTGAACCTCAGAAGTTAAAAGACCAAAGCCTAGTCCCTGCCCCTGCTCTATAAGCATAGAGCAATTTTCTGGAACACAGTGAGTTCCTGGCACATTGTGAGCACACAGTAAAATTTATTTATTTATTTATTTATTTTTATGGTACTAGGCATTGAACCTAGGGCCTTCACACGTTAAATTTTTCTTTATTATTCTGAGACTCACTAAGATGCCCAAGCTGGGCTCAAACTTTCAATCCTCCTGGCACAGCCTCCTAGAGTGCTGAGATATTTTCCTTTTAAAACTATCTGTCATTTCCTTGTACACTGTGTGAAGACAACCAGTAAGCCAGATCAGAGTCATGGTTCTGGCTCCCCTGTGCTGGTCTGCATGGGTCTGGCTTTTCCTGCCTTTACCTCAGTTTCCCTAGCCTCTCACAACTCAGCCTTTTGGGGACTTGGGGTACCTGCTGGAAACTCCTTTGTCCCTTGAACCTTCTGGGAGACACATTCTCCCACAAGGCCCCCACTTGCCCCAGTGTCTTCCCCATTTCTCATTCCCACTCCCAACACATGTAACCCATGTTGTTATGGCTGTTCAGAAATGCCCAGCGATGCCAGGGTACTCCTTCTGAGAATGGCTAGCTTTGGAGCTGTAGGAACTGTGGATTTAGGCTATTACAACAAAGCCTCGGTCTCAGGATTTTCTGTAGGAGAAACACAGACACTTCAGACAGTGAATAAAGTTTTTTAAATCCTTGGAATATAATTGAAAAAAGAAAACTAAGATTGAGATAACAAGCAATGTATTAGGCTTCAAGAGATGTGAATTCTGTGTGTCCTACCCAGTCACCTGTTCTTGCAAATCCAGCTTCCCATCTGCACCCTGGGAAGGAAGGGAACAAGATGTATCAGCACTGCTCATGGCCATTGTTGTGGTGCCTATGCATTCTTCAGGATAATACTCATGATGGCACTCTGCCTAAGGCTGCCATTGCTTCAGCTATTCTTTAGGAATGGTTTTATCATTTTGACAAAAGTATTATTCGGTTATTTATAGTATTCATAAAGCTAGTCAGACTCTAGTAATAAATGATAACTACTTGTGAATAGAAACAGTGAGGAGCATTTTATGAGGACAGCTTCAGACTCTACTAAGAGTCTGATTATTTTTCAGGCACACATTCATCCCTGGAATGCCCTCAGTGTTCTTTGCCTGGCAGACGTTCTGTGAGCCAGTGCTGTTGGAGAGCTTGGTTCCCCTTTGGGGATGGAGCACAGTGGCCTGGGTGACAGCTGCACTCTGGGTAGACGTCTGTATATGGCAAGCATAAAGGTTGGACAGCAAATGGTTAAGAGTCAGGAAGGATAATTAGGAAAGCAATGAATGTGTTTCTGTGCACAATTTCATCTTCAAAGATTAATGAATGAGAGGTTGTGTCATGAGACTGGCTGTTAGCAAATCAGTTAGCAATGACCATCTTCACTCTCTAAAGGGGGATTGGGCCTTCTCTGCACATCTCCCCTGGGGACACCTAGGACTGGAGGCTAGATTTAAAGCTTAGGGAAATTTGGTTCCATATTTGGAAGAGTTTTACAATTATTAGAGCTGACTGAGAATAAATTATTTTGCTTTGCACATTAGTGCTTTTGTCTTTGGTTGCATTAAAGCAAACCTTTTGGATCAGGTGCATCCAGTGGGGTGGAAAAATGGAGTTCCCATCCCCTGCCAGTCCCATAAGGATATTAAGACAAACTTTATATATATCATATATTATATATATATATATATATATATATATATATATATATATGAACAGTATCTGATGAAAAGTTGTTTGGCCCCTTTGAATGATCTGTGTCAACAGACCTAGACAAATTTTCTTTTCCTTCCATAAGTCCTTTTTGATGTTTACTGCCCACACATACTGAGAAGTATTTTCAGTAGGCAAGGTATATCCAGTATACTGGATTGAAACTGTGGACAAATTCCTAGATATATTCAGTTTGAATAGACTGGCCCCTTCTGCCCCACTCCCCATATTTCCCCTGGTCTGTTACTCTTTTTTTTTTTAATAACTTTATTATCAAACACATACACACATACAGAAATTAAAACCATTCAAAGAAAAACAATGCAGGGGAAAAAACCTACAATAATATTCAAATACAGTAGAATTCAACCAAAATAAAACTGAAAAGCACTTAAACAGTTTTCCATATAATTTAATAAAACATCTCAAGCACCAACAAGACACCAGAGGATGTGATTTGTTTCAGAAAGATC